GAGGCTTTGTAGTTTTCAGTGTACAAGTCTTGTACTTCTGTTAAAATATGCCTAGATATTTCATTTTTCAAATGGTATTGTAAATGGAATTGTTTTCTTAATTTCATTTTTGGAATGTTCATTGCTAGGGTATAGAAATATAATTGATTTCGGTTGTTGATCTTGTATCCTGAAATCTTGCTGAATGTGTTTATTGGTTCTAATACTTTTTCAATGGGGTCCTTAGGATTTTCTATGGACAAGATCATATCATCTGCACATGAGGTGGTTTAGTTCTTCTTTTCAACCTGGATGCCTTTTATTTCATTTTATTGCCTAGTGGCCCTGGCTAGAACCTCCATGCGATGTGGAATGGAAGTGAGAGCAGCCTTCCTTGTCTTGTTCACGATCTTCGTGGGAAAGTATCTAGCCTTTCACCACTGAGTGTGACGGTGGCTGCAGACTTTTCATAGATGCCCTGTATCAGGTTGAGAAAATTCCCTTCTCTTCTGTTTGTTGAGTGCTTTTATCACCCACGAGTATCAGACGGACGTCGGAGAGGAGAGGATGACAGCAGACACCGGTCCTGGCAGGACTCCGGGCAGGGGTGAGGACCTGAGAATGGAAGCCTTCTGGATTGCTTGTCCTGGAAGACAGCAGTCTGACACGATAACACCTCCTACCATTAGCACATGGATACGGATACTGATGTGGTTCTTCTGATGCCTGGGATGTCTGATGAATCACGGATGCAAGCCCTTCAGGATGCTGAATGAAATCTTGCTGAATGTGTTTATTGGTTCTAATATTTTTTCAGTGGGGTCCTTAGGATTGTGGTATGGTGTGGCAAAGGGTGTGGCATAGGGAGTCCCAAAGATGTGCTTGATGTAGGCCCCTGAGTAGTTCTGATGGAGAAGCCAAGGCTTTCCCAGAGGACAGAGCGGGGCCCGGGGCTGGGCAGATATGGCTGTGCATGGACCGCGTGGCCACGACCAGACAGGAATAAAGATGCTTCCACAGGAGTCCCCACGGAGGGAAGGCTGTGCCCCAGGACGAGATGGGAAGGACGCCGGCATAGGATGGAGCACCTCCCAAGAGCCAGGAGCCTCTCCCTGTACCCCAAGCCCCCCCCCCAAGTCATCCCCAGGAGAGGGAGGAGAAGGAGAAAATCCTGAACTGCCTGACTTGAAGTTTCTGGAGTTTTACCACGAAGCGGCAAAATTACTTTTTACTGCCATCAGACGGAATGGAGGCCTGAAAAAAACTAAACTTAAAGAAAAAATTTAAAAGGCTTTATTTCTTTGTTGTACCCCTGAGGGTGTGGTGGACTCATTCAGCAGACACCCGTGAAGCATGTGGTGAGTGCCAGGTGCTGGGCTCAACACACAGGTAGGATGCAGGGGTGCGTCCAGGACGTATGGGTGTGGACCCACAGGCCTAGCTGGTCCGTGCTGCTGGGACGCAGGAGGCACAGGAACTGCGGACGGGTCCTACGCCTGGCAGGGGTGACTAGTCTCAGAGCATGTTGGCCCCTCCCCACTCTTAGCCATGGGAGAGAAGCAGCGATTCTCTGGATGGTTCTTCTAGCTCCCAGGTACTCATGGGCTGGGCTTCTCTGGGGGATCAAATGTTTACTGGAAAGCCTTTCTTTGATGTCAGCCTGGCAGCAAGGGGCACTAGAAGTCAGCATCCTGAAGGGCTTGCATCCGTGATTCATCAGACATCCCAGGCATCAGAAGAACCACATCAGTATCCGTATCCACCCTACCCCGAGCGTGTTCACTGCATGTCCATTTGGAGGTCCAAAGGCCTAGGGCCCAGGCACCTGTAGTTCTTGGGGTTTCACCTGTAAAGACAAGGTCCAAGGAACACCACAGCAGCCACCCTGTGTTGCAAACAACCCAGACTCACAGAGAGGAAAGGAGGTCAAAACAAGAAACCAGAAAAATCACATAAGTGATCCCCTCCCCTGCCGTCTCAAACTCCTGCTTTTTTACTTTATAGTTTACAAAACCACGTTTACATTTGATTCTTACTAAAGCCCTAATAGGTAAATAATGGAGACCCATTGTTAAATACCCCATTTTACAGATGAGAAAACTGAGGCCCAGAGTGGGCCAAAGTTTGCCAAGCTCACGAAGGTAGCTGAGGATAGCCTGGACTGGAACGCAAGGCGGAATTCTCTCTCGTCTGAGGTTCGTTCCACCACAGAGAAGTATAAGGACAACAATAAGGTAGATGGTGAGATCCCGAAAACAGGAAGAGAAGTGTCATGGGGCTCAGATACTCTCACCACGGAGGACCCTGGTCACGAGCTACCAGCTCACATCTCTGGATGGTTCCGTTGACCTCTGCTGCCACCAAGTGGTGATTCTGCAGTTCATGAGCTGAGGGAGGCCTCTGGTGACTGATTTTTTTTTTTTTTTTTTTTTGTACTGCAGCAGGAGGGAACAGGGAAATCAAGGAAAACAGTCTCAAAGGGGAAAGGAAAAGAATCTAAGGATATTTTCCCCACTGGGATTTAAGCTAAGAATGGCAATTAATCTATGCCAGTTCTGCTGGCTGCTGGTGGCTGCCCAGGGCCCTCCGCTGGGGATTCTCAAGTGGCATTCAGCGCGTCAGGAAAAGGCTCTATGACTGATTAGGGGCACCTGTCGTTGGCACAGAAGGGAGAGTGGCATCATGGACACATGCCACAGCACAGCCAAAGAGCAGTGGCCTTCCCATGTGGTTCTAGTGAGAGAGAAAATTCAGAATAATGAAACCATTCTGGAAACCAGACTGTGGACAAAATATTTTATTGGGCTTTGTTCTCCATGTGACCACAAGGCCCAGAGAAGGCCCATCCCAGCACGCTCAGCGCCACCGCCTCCCAAGTGCCTCATCAGCCCTTGCCACTGCTCAGATGGGGAGGCCCTCACCAGGCTTCCTCTCCTTCCGCCGCGCCCGCCCTGCCCACCTATCGCAGCTGGGCAAAGAGAAGCCTGACTGCCATCCTTGCTTTCCTCCTCAACTGCGGGGAGGGGTTCTGTGGGCCGGCGCCACCCGCAGAGATCTAGACCGAGAGGAGGGTGCAGATCTCTGTAGAGATCGCTGTAGCGATCTAAAGAATGAGGGTGGTCAGTGTCCCTTGGAAGCCAGGCAGAAACATCTGATTCAGAAATGACCCAAAGAGGTTTTCGATGTTTTTATTTGGAAACGTGGAGACAACGGCACTCCTCTACGAACTCCCAGCGAGCCCACAGCAGGCGTGGGGGGCAAGGTCGATGTTACCCAGCTTTGGACCAGGAGCCAGTACGGGTCGGAATTAGCTGGTGCCAGTCGGCGGTCCACCGCTCCCTCTGCAGGCAGCTGCTGAGTGGCCCCAGCCAGGAGGTAAGGAACAGAGTCCTCAGATCGGGGAAAGAAGGGATTCTGCGGTCAGCGCCGATGGCCGAGTGCCCACCCGGCCCAGAGCATGGGTGGAGGGGAGGCCCTCTTTCTCTTCCGTAAATCCACTCCCATGGCTTCTCTGGATGGCCGCCTCCCGCGGTAGCCAAATGAGGCTGTGGGCAGGCGACACCCGCTCTGGCCAGGTGACGCTGGCTCTGGGGGAAAAGGATGAAAAAAATAAGGCTTTCATCTAACTGGGGTTATCAGTCAGCAAGATCTAAGGGGCAGGAACCCATTGAGAAAATCGTTTCTGTGAAGCAACCGTTGACAGAGGATCACCAGAACAGATGTGAAGTGCGAAGAGGTTGTCTGGGGTTATTCCTAAATGTTCAAAAAAAGGTATTCCAGGAAGAATGTATCTGCTTTTCTTGAAATTGGATTTCTCAGGAATTGAAAGTGGATCAGTGAGGTTTGGAGCAAGAAGGTCACAGCAGGAGGCAGGCCAGCATTACTCCGGGAAGCTTCTGGGACAGTGGATCCTGGTCGGTGGGTAGAGATGGCCCAGCTGGAATCAGGGGCTTCCAACAAGTCGAACAGCTGACACCTGACAAGGCCGGGACCCCAATTCTACCAACAAGGGTCATCTTTCTCGTGCTGAGTCTGGTATCTCCCTGTGAACAGATAAAACTAACCACATCCCAAACTACCGCCTCATGCAGCATTCACTGGGTTTCACACAGCCCTTGGGTCACTCATATGTGTGATCCTGGGGGAGAAATAACTGAGAGGATGAATGAAAAGTCAGCGTTCTTCCTCCACGGAGCTGGTGGGGGTGAGGGAGGACTCTGCCCCTGCTTGCTGGAAGGAGGCTGGAGGAGTCGGGGGTTGGACTCTGCTCGCTGCAGACACCGGGAACAATCCCGTGCCTTCCCACCACCTACACCCAGGGACGAGAGAGAGTCACCCTCCCACCCCTCGCGGGGACCGCGGGGCTCTGTGGCTCTCCGACATACATCATGTCTCACCCCGTGCCCAGTCTGGACTCCCAAGGGAGGCACAGGTGTCCACGTCTTCAGAGACTGGGTGCTCCTGCCGCCTAGAGCATGACCTGCCCATGAACTCAGAGCTACTTGGTAAATCCAAATCCAGGACTTGATAAAGGGCCTCGGAAGTTGTAACTCCTTGCATGAGACTTGTGCAGGATGAGGCTCCAGAAAAGTCACCGGGGACCCTCCTCTTCCACCGGAGAGCCACAGCCTCCAGGCCCACGCCTGCAGAGCCAAGGCCAGCACCCATCTGTGCCTCATGGCCCGTGAGAGGACTTTCAGAAAGGGGAGCTTCCGACTGGGGTGCTCACTGCTCTGAATGGCCCAATCCAGGACCATCAGAATTTGGCTTGCTAGAAACTTCTTCCTTCCTCCCGAAGTAGCCAATCGGCAGGCTGGTGACAAGTGGCTGGTGCGACATCTCAGGCAAGCATCCAGCCACTCCGGGTGCCGCCAGGCCTTGCTTGGCCCTCCAGCCACCTTGCTGCTGAGTATTTAATCACATAGACAGATGCTCCTGAACTCTTAAATGGGAAGAATGAGTAATAAGATACTGCATAAAACAGGTATTGTATTTTGTTCTGTTTATTTATATGTTCGGTTTTTTTCCCCACAGTAAAGAGGCACTGATTTTATTACAGGATTTTCTGGAAAGCCACTTTCATCTGGTTACAGGGGGGAGTGGCTGGTATCTGAGCACAGCTTTGAGAACCAGACCATTCCTCTGCCTTGCCCCGGACAAAACCCAAGGACAGTTGTGCTTCACTCAAGATGTTTAAGTATGCAAAATGTGTTACTCCTGTTTCCCTTTTGTAAGAGAGGGCCAAGAGCCAGGCGAGCCGTGAAGGTGGGTGCTTTAGTGAAGAGCTGCAGTATTTGACGTAAAAGCCGGCGTTCCAGGGTTTGCCCTGGGCTCAGTCTTGTCAGCCTGATCCATCACGCCCTTCCCGGGGTCTAGGGTCTGGCCCCATCCACACATGCCAGCAGGCCCCTGCTGCCCCAGGGGAGGCAGCAGGGCGGTTTGCTAGACCTTTCTGACGAAGACCATCCTTCTTTTTTTTTTTTTTTTAAAGATTTTATTTATTTATTCATGAGAGAGAGAGAGAGAGAGAGGCAGAGGGAGAAGCAGGCTCCCAAGGAGCAGGGAGCCCGATGCGGGACTCGATCCCAGGACCCCGAGATCATGACCTGGGCCGAAGGCAGACGCTTAACCATCTGAGCCACCCAGGCGCCCGACCATCCTTCTTGAGAGAATTTGCAGTCACCAAGACTGAAGCGAAATGGTTTCTTTTTACCTAAAAAATTCAGTGACTCATCCCCCTTGATCTTCTCAGCTCTGCAGGTTACCAGTGTGGAGCCAGAGAAGGAGAAACAGTGGGGGAAAGAAGAGAAGGAGCTGAGAGGATACTGGAAGCTGATCGTCCATCTTCTCAACAATGTTTCTGAGTGGCCATCTCCGTGTGAGGCACCAGTGATAAAGAAGTGAAGAAACAGTCGTAGCTCTCCCGGGACCTTCACGCCAGCTGGGGAGTGAGGAAAGTCATCAGGCAGTTATGATGCAAAGGGGATGTGGTAGGGGCTGAGCAGGGGCTGTGGGGGAGAGCCTACAGCAGGCACAGCTCATCTTGGCTGAGGCATAAGGGCAGGCTTCCTGGAGGAAGAGACTTCTAGACTAAAGCCTGGATGACAAAGAGGAGTTGGTGAAGCCAAGGACAAGCGGGGGGAGGAGGGGGGGCGGTTAAAAGATGGTGTCAGGCAGGGACAGCATGTGCGAAGATCCAGAGGCAAGAGCGAGAATGTTATTTTCAGGATGCTGGTGATGTTGGGGTTGATGACTAAAGCTTTACCTAAAGGGCAATGGGGAATCACTGAGGGCATTTAACTAAGGGAGTCACTTGCTCAGATTGCTTTTCTTAGAACGCTGGGACCGCAGTGATCTTTTGCAATGAGAGAGGGACCGAGAAAGGATATGGGAGGCAGGGAACGAGGGCAAAGGCTGTCCCTTCAGGGCTTTGAGAGCCCATTGATGGCCCTCAGACTCATGCTCTGAGTCCACTAGGGAGGTGGGGAGATGGTGCCCTGTAACAGAGGGTGGGCAGTGTGCTTTAAGTCCTCATTTCTGGGCCTCAGCCACTGAATTTGTAGAGTAAAGTGAAATACACTTCTCTCCAAGGGCTGTTGAAGCTGCTGGGTGGGAAAACAGATCGGTAAGCTCACTATCTACAGGCATATTCTGTGCCGATCTCAGTTCCTGAGTACCCGGCTCACCACCAGTCACGGGTGGGCATTTCAGAAGGGCCTTCTGATGACAAGAGGGGTGGCTACTGTCGCCCCAGAAGTGACACAGATTAGATAGGAAATGAATGACAGGGACGTTTCAGAAAGTCACGACGTGTCCATGGCAAAGAAGAGGGTGTCAAGCCCCAGGGAGGTGCAGTGGGCTGGGAAGGAAGCACACTGACCTGACGCTCAGGGGCTGGTCACGGTGTGGTCCCCACGGAGCACCTGCAGCGAGAGCTCATACCCAAGGAACATGGCGGCGCTCATGGGGAAGCCGCGCAGAGTGTTCACCATGATGCCTCTGAAAAACACCTGTGACAGGAGGCAGCGTTATCAGAGGACTGACCCAGACCCTCCGCAGCGCCACCACGGAGGCGCAGAGGACGGACTGGGGATGTTGGCCACTTGTCCCAGGCTGGACTCTATAGAGCCCAAAGGACCCTTGCAAGCCTAAACCACCCCGGATGCCGCAGTCATGCCCCTGCCTCGACCCACATTCCCTGGGACTGGGCTTTTCCTCCCAGGCCTGGTGCACATACACTAAATACTGGGGGCAAACTGTTGACCATGAACACCCACATACACTTGCTTAATTGCAGCTCTTTCTCATGTACGTACCCACACGCACATGCACGCACACACAAGATTCTCTGGAACCTGGCCGTCCGAGCTCTCCACTGCACTCACTCTGCAATGGCGGACAGAGCAACCAGGTGCTTCATAGGATGTCCCCCAAGGGGCAGAGCGGGGAAGAACTCAGGCCATACTTTTAGGCATGAAGTGGAGACACAGCTTTGGCATTCGATAGCTGTGTTACTTGGGCAAGTGGCAAAGTCTCTGAAACTCAACTTCCCAACTGCAAAATGGGGTAACAATACTATTGAGCTGATGTGACTGCTGAAGGAAACGAGATGATGCTTTCAAAGCTCTTACACCGGGCCTGCCATGCAGCCAGCGTTCATGAACTGCTGACGGTCCCATCACCCTCATTGTTAGCAGGAGCCATCCTTACGCCAAGTGACACTCAACCTTCGGTCATTAGTATGAGTGCCGAGGGGACTGGCCTGTATCAATGAGCTGCTTAACTCAGCCATTCATACGAGAACCCTGTATTTGTCTTCTATCCCTCCCATCACTAGGGCATATGATAAGATGCTTCACTTCCTCCTTGAGTCGTCCTGCCTAGTGCTGGGTAGAAACTGGTCAGTGTAATGTGGTTCCAGCCCTTGCCCAGTTCAAAACCTACTCGGAGGAGATAAGCCCCATGTGGGGATAATTACAATACAATCTAGAATGTGATGAGAACAGATCAGGGCTTTGGGGGAGGAGGGACCTGTCCTCACATGTCTTCCCTGGGAAGAGACAACACGTCTAAAGGAAACCCTACCCAAGCATAAACGACCCAAGAACTGTCAGGAATACGACGTACACCTGTTTGCCGACTCCTGTATATTTACTAAGTGTAATAAATAGAACCGGTAGTATAATTTTGAGGAAGTAGAAATCCAGCCCTTTTACATTTCCCCAGTTTCCTTGGTTGTGAGGCACTGTGGTGTCAGGGTAGGAAGAGGCCACTGTCGTCGGCCAGGATGTCACGGGGTCTTCAGGAGGGGCACCTGCACCTTAGAACTCCATGGCAGCCGGCAAGACACAGCCTGGTTGTGGTGGGGGGAGAATGGCCTCTGTGGGTTTGGGGGAAGCCTTACCCCTTACAGGGAAGGGAGCTGATGGACAAGGACCCCAGAGGGGAGCAAGAGGTTCAGCCAAACCCTGGAGTGACTCAGGCAAGGGGCAAGCAGGACATTTGTAACATCTAATGTCTAACCTTTCTGGAATTCCCCAGGCTCACCCAGAGTGACTGAATAACAGCAAGGAACTGGCCCAAGCTCCAAAAGGAAAATTCCACACTGGGTGCCCATAAACACTCCCCTGCGGGCCTGGGCTTGGCTCTGCTCTATGAGGTCACGCCAGGCAGGGCCCAGCTTGGAGTGTGGGCCGCCTCTCCCACAGTGCTGGGCCCTGCGGGAACCATGGAACACTCCAGACATACAGACATGACCTCCCTCCAGCAGCCCTGGCCTGATCTGCTGTGAGGTCCAAAGATGGCAAAGTGCAGACCTGCTGGCTCTTACCCTGAGCTTTTGGAACACAAAACCACCAGACCTAGTCTCTCCTCATGAAGCCTCGATGGCTCCCCACTGCCCAGGGAAGTCTACACCCTTCCCTGGTCTGCCAAGACACTTTTGCTCGGGCCCTGCACTTTCTCTGGGCAGCCTCTTACACCTGACATTCTGGGCACGTTAACAACCTGTCGTTCCTCCAGGGAGCCAGCTCTCTTCCACCACTGGGTCTCTTCTATTCCATCGGCTGGAATGTTCCCCGGCCTGGCTGCACTCTCCAGCAGTCTTCCCAGGGCCACCCTAAGCTGGACTGTGACTCGCTGTCTTCTGTGCACTCAGGATTTCTGCCATCACAGCACTTCTCACACTGTCTCTACCCACCCATCATTTGTCTGTACCCCCATTAATAACCTCAGGGCAGTGAGAGCAGGGCTGTGTGTGGTTTACCTTAGAACCCCCAGCATCTACACCTCTGAATCCCCAACATCTACACTTCAGAACCCCCAGCATCTAATGCTTTTCTTGGCCCAGTGGGCCCTTTGTAAGTCTTACTAAATGAATCAGTGGATGGATGAATGGATGGATGGAATGAACAAATTCCTTGTTGTGAAAAGGAAACAGTCTCTGAGCTGAAAGAGTCCTGCTGGTGTTAGTGGTAGTGGGGGATTCCGGGAGTGGAGGGGTGGCTCCAGTCCCCAGATGGCAGAACCAAAGGGCAACCAACTCTGCTGCCTCAGGAAACGGCTCTTCCTACAAATGTTCCTCTCCACCTCTCCTTACTGTCATTCAATCTCAAGCCACTGTCACAAACCCCCTCCCAACAGCCACCTCCATGCAGCTGAAGGATACCAAGTCCCTCCTCTGGCCTCCTCATCTCAGACAGTAACCCTCCCAGTGTGAGCAATGGCCCAAGTGGCCCATGACGAATGTCACAGCAGGCAGAGAACGGACTCACAGCAGGGAGAGAATGGACTTCTTTTTGGATTCGGGGATGCCCCCAAAGTCCTAGACTTCTAATTCCCTTTATCAAAAAGGCTGCTTTCTCAGTAATCATTAAGCGGGTTACAAGGAACTGCCAAACTTGGGTACCATCACCATTATTCTACTCTTTCCCAAGTCTTCATTCCCACTGAGTTCTCCGTCCATAGTGCAGCGGGGACAGGTGGGCTTACCCTGCCTCAATGAGCCACAGTACAAACTGTTTGGGAATGATGCTCCACAGAGCCGGCCGCACAGTCAGCTGGGACGGGAGCCATCCACTGGGCCCCCAGAAAACCCATTCCTCCTGCTGCTGGGAAGGGCTATGAGACAAGCCAGCTGTCCAGGGCTATGTGGGATGTTTTCTTCATGCTGTCGTTTATGTTTACGTGCAAACACATATACAAACATACAGCACAGTCCGTGAATATTTTTGGAATATGTTATAAGAAACTCACAACAGTGATTGCCTTTGAGAGAAGACTGAAGACCAAGGAGGGACAATTAGACAGTATATCCTCTTATATCTTTTGAAACTTCCTATGTTCATGTATTATCTATTTTTAAAACCAACTAATAAAAAAATTAAAAATGACTTTCAGTGAGTGAGTGGTTAATCCAAGCTGAATACTGCTGCCATTATTTAAAACCTGTCTCTGGGGCGCCTGGGTGGCTCAGTTGGTTAAGCGACTGCCTTCAGCTCAGGTCATGATCCTGGAGTCCCTGGATCGAGTCCCACATCGGGCTCCCTGCTTGGCGGGGAGTCTGCTTCTCCCTCTGACCCTCCTCCCTCTCATGCTCTCTGTCTCTCATTCTCTCTCAAATAAATAAATAAAATCTTTAAAAAATAAATAAATAAAAAATAAAATAAAAAATAAAACCTGTCTCTGAATATAAACTATGGACCAACGCTACTGAGATTAAAAAATCAATCCTCTGACTTCAGTTGCCTTCCAAGACTTTGTTTTTAACAGAGCACAGTAATTTTTGGAGGAAATAATATCAGCAAAATATTTAGCCTCTATAGACTTTATAGAATTAGGACACATTAATATTTTGACATTAATTTGAATAACTCGACACATTAGTATTTTAATTAATAGTAGACAAGAATATCTCAAATAAAACAGCATCTTTTTTGAATCTTTCTTATGTGTCCCTCTGTGCTTGTTGGTTGAATCACAGTGCTTCTGCTAAAACAATAAAAAAGACAAGTGAGGTGAGGATTCTAGAAATGTGGCAGAATGGGAAATGCCAGCAATCTGTTTCCTTACCTAGATAAAAACTGTGCTGACGGAATCTGTCTGATGTAACCATTTTGGAATTCTGGGGTTTATTGAATGCTTACAACTTCAAGGAGAAGGTTTGGACAGTAAATCTGGTTAATTTCAATCCGTTTTAGCTCTTAGCAAGGTAGCAGCTACCCATCCTCCACCCCCAGACCTGTGGCAGGCAGGTAGGTGCACAGACGCTCTGGGAGCAACCTGCACACACAGCTTGTGGAAGCCAGAGTTGGCAATGAGGACCCTGTCTTGCAAATACTGGAGATCTGTGTTTTGATCACTGATTGCTGTTTCTGATCACAGAGGTGCAAAGAGGAAGTTAGGCTCTGCTTCTTCCTCTACCCCACAAGTCCTTCCTCCTCTGGCCAATGCCCCTTTCCCCCTTCATTTCTCTCTTTTTCTCTTTTTCCCGTCTTGGGAGCTAGATGTTAAAGACTAGGACATTCAAAAGCAACTGCATGTATGGGGAAAGTTGGAAAGTAACCATGCATGTGCAGAGAAAGGCTCAGAAAAGACCTGAGAAGACCTTAAGTTTACACTTCAGGCTGATCTTTGGCATAGAGACAGCCTACAACAATCAAAAAAGTGAAGCAATAAACAGTAACAAAAGACACTAGACACTGGGGAAGGAGGGGAGAAATCTGATTTCCAGAGTTACCACATAATTCAATTTAAAAGTCTAATTTTCAATAAAAAATAACAAAGCATAAAAAGAAACAAGAAAGTATGGTCCATTCAAAGAAAAAATAAATCAAGAGAAACTATCCCTGAAAAAGACCTGATAGCAGATCTACCTAACAAAGACATTAGAACTGTCTTAAAGATGCTTGAAGAACTAAAGGAAGATATGGAGAAAGTCAAGAAAATGATACATGAACAAAATGAAAACATGAATATGAAATAGAAAATCCAAAAAGAAACCGAACAAAAATTCTGCCACTGAAAAGTACAATAACTCGAGTGAAATATTCACTACAAGAATTCAAAGGTATATTTGAACAGGCAGGGAAAAAAAAAAAAAAGAGCAAACTTAAGAATAAGACAATGGAGGGCGCCTGGGTGGCTCAGTTGGTTAAGCGACTGCCTTCGGCTCAGGTCATGATCCTGGAGTCCCGGGATCGAGTCCCGCATTGGGCTCCCTGCTTGGCAGGGAGTCTGCTTTGCTCTCTGACCCTATCCCCTCTCATGTGTTCTCTCTCATTCTCTCTCTCTCAAAATAAATAAATAAAATCTTAAAAAAAAAAAAAAAAGAATAAGACAATGGAGAGTGCCTGGGTGGCTCAGTCGTTAAGCGTCTGCCTTCAGCTCAGGTCATGATCCCAGGGTCCTGGGATCGAGCCCCGCATCGGGCTCCCTGCTCGGCGGGAAGCCTGCTTCTCCCTCTCCCACTCCCCCTGCTTGTGTTTCTGCTCTCGCTCTCTCTGTCAAATAAATAAATAAAACCTTAAAAAAAAAAAAAAGAATAAGACAATGGAAATTATTGCGGTTGAGAAAAAGAAACAAGCCTAAGGGATCTGTGGGAAACTATCAAGCAAATCAATATATGCATCGTGGGAGTCCCAAAGGAGAAGAGAGATGGGGCAGAGAATATTTGGAGTAATAATGGTCAAAGACTTCCTAAATTTGGTGAAAGACCTGACTATAAACATCAAAGAAGCTTAATGACTCCAAGTAAAATAAACTCAAAAAGACCTACACAAGACACATTACAATCAAACTTTTGAAAGCAGCAAGATAGAAGGAACACATTACATACAAAGGATCCTCAGTAAGTCTAACAGCAGATTACTTATCAGACACTTTAGAGACCAGAAGTCAATAGGCCAACATACTCAAAGTGTTAAAGAAAAAATGGTCAGTCAAGAATCCCGTATCCAGGAAAACTATCCTTCAAGACTGAGGGAGAAATGAAGACGTTCCCAGATAAACAAAAGCTGAGGGAGTTCACTGCCACTTGATCTACCCTGCAAGAAATGTTCAAAGGAGCTCTGGAGGGTGAAATGAAACAGCACTTGAATCTGTATGAAGAAATAAAAACCTCAATAAAGGTTAAGACACGAAGAGAGTGACACCAGCACCGTGGAAGTACAAAATGTCCCTATCTTGTCCCCACCTCAACAACAAAAGTTGGGCATCCATCCACCCATACAGGTGCCTCTGTGGGAGTTGTGGGATCCAGCACCACATGCTAAGGGACCCAAAAGTCCTGCCCTCCTGTGTATCAGGTACTAGGCAGAGAGCCTATGAACTGGCTCCAGCCCCTCTCAGCTGCAGTCTGGGAGCACTTGGAGAACAAGGACTTGGCCAGTAAATACGTGTGTGTGTGTGTGTGAGAGAGAGAGAGAGAGAGAGAGAGAGAGAGAGTTTGTGAGTTTGGATGCACTGGAGCAGGGAGGGTGGGGGATGAGGCAGCCATGTGAGGAAAGGTCCAGTGTTCAGTAGTAAGATTGACACTAGTAAAACTACTAATACTAATACTAAAGCCAATGACAAGCAGCTCTTTGTAAATATACTCTGTGTGTTATGCATGAAGCTAAGCACTTTTTATATGCCTAATTTAATCCCACTAACAAATATCCCTATTGTTCATGGTGAGGATGATTATCCTTGGAGAAATTGAGGCCCAGAGGGGAAACAAGTTGCCTGGATTTCCCCCACCCAGCTCATGAGTAGCCAGGCTGGCTTTAACTCAAGCCTGCTGACTTGAAGGGGCAAGCCACGAAAGCTGGGGGCCCAAGGAGGCAGAACATGCATGATGGTTTCTCTGAAGGGTACTAGGGGGTGTCACGGGAGGCAACACAGACAGGGATGATTTTGTTTATAGCCTTGGATGCCAAACTTGGAATGCTGTTCGTCATCCTAGGACAGTTCAGAGACAGGAAGGGGCTTGGATTTAGACGAGCCCTTTGGGTGCAGGGAGGAGGAAAGAGAAGGTAGACAAGGCCAGGTTGCAGGCTGCCTCATAGCCAAAACCAGAGGTGACGGGGTGTGGACTCGAGTGGGGTGAGGGAACAGAAGACAGAGCGGGGGACTGGATGTTGTGAGATGCGATGACTGATGTGGCTCTGGGACCCCCTACTTGGAGGAGGGCGAGGCACTGAGCAGTGAGTGAGGAAGCTGTGCCCCCAGCCTTTCCTGATGAGAAGGTAAGCTTTGGTGACACACAGATGCGGGCCCAGGTCCTAGCTCTGCCATGCACCAGCTGTGTGACCTCAGGTAGGTTACCAGTCCTCTCTGAGCCTGTCTCCTCCACCAGCCTGGGGCATGGACTAGACGAGACAAGGATCGAAGTAGGGCTTGATATGGTAACCTCCAGTACTTCGGTTTCCTGATTCCCCTCTGTAATCTCACATCCCCCCAAATGTCTGGCCCACCTTCCAGGGACTGACACCGACCCCACATCACTGCGGTGGGGCTTACTTTAAGACCTTCCTTCCGGTAACTCTGGGAGATACAATCCAGGATGCCTTTGTATTTGTTTAAATAAACCCCATCAGCTTGGAGTCGACTTTTCACGACATCCATAGGAGTCGCTGTCCCCCAAGAAATTGCTCCTGTAAAGAGAGAGACAAACAGGTGTCAGGGACTGGCTGGTTGGGGTCTGGAGGGGACGTGGCTCCCTGCCCCTCTCTACCACTGACAGGCTTAACAAGCTGCTGGGGGAAGCGGGCAGAGCTCAGGCAGGACCTGTGAAGGCCATCCCTGAACTTCCACTTCAGGCCATCCCTGAACTTCCACTCACTGTGGAACTTTGTAGAAGTCTCCTCCTCTAGGCCTTGAGTCTGCCATCTGTAAAATGGGGCAACAGTACCTACCTTCATTGGGTTCCTGTTAGGCCAAATAAATGGATGCACGTGAAGCATTTAGCACAGTGACAGGCCCACAGCCAGCGCTTTGTCAGTGGACACCTTTATTAGCAGCTTTTACTGGAGACACAGGAAAAGGCCCCACCAATACTTCACAGTGCCTTTCCAGGGCACCAGGGGCGAGAGCCCAGAGTGAAGGCTGGGGCAGAAGGCTTGCAGCTCCCCAGAGACAGAAGGGACTCTGAATACAGAGAAGCTAAGCGAACACTTGCAGACGGCTACTCGCCAACGGAGGGCCAACTAAGGCCTGAAAAGAGCAGGAAGGTCTTTACAAATCTTGCCCCTTTTCCAGACATCTGAAATTGAAGCCTTGGGACGATGTAACACTAGGTCATCTTCATTGGAGAAGCTCAGGTGCCCTAGTTTGAGCGCTTTGATGACTTTAAAGGACTCTCGGAAAACAATGCCAGGTTACTGTAGAAACACTAAAATTGGCACATCCTTAGACAGGAAGAGAAAAACAAACTGAGGCCAAAGTCCAAGGCAGCTGGTTTGCAAGGTTTACTGATTGCTGCCCAGAGACTCCCAAATGAGGCCTTAGTCTGTCCTGGACCCTCTGCCCATCCCAGCCTCCAGCCCCCGTGGGCTCCTGCCCATGATCCTCTGGGAATCCTCTGCACCTCCCTTCCCTCTTGCCCCCTGCCGGGATAATGGGGCTGCTTCCCCTGGAGACTGTCCAGGTGCTGCCCTGGCATACTCGCCTGTTCCTCAGCCCACGGGCCAGGGTTTTATAAAACGTGGTCTGCCTACCAGGCCACTCAAACCTGCTCTCACCAGAATCAAGAACGAATGGGGCCTCGTGTGTCTTCTCGGCCAGCAAGTGCTTATTAATCACTTACTAGGATCTGGCACAGGCCAGGCCTCAGATGCATGGGGGCAGAGGGCGGACATTGGTGTTTGGTGGCTAAGACAAGGGCTTCGTTATATGCTTGCGGAGTTTCGAGCCTAGCTAATGATGATGGGGGGGGGGGGGGGAAGAGGAGGAGGAATGATCATTTTCTTCTCTCCAGAAGATCTTTCCTGTCAACATCACACATGCCATGTTATCAGCCTTCTTAAAAAGCAATGCTCTCTTGACTTCCCTACCCCACTCTGGCTACAGCTGCATACCTCTCTTCCCCATCACAGCCCAGCCAAACCCCAGACATGCCGTGTGTCCTTGGACTGTCCAATTTCTTCCATCCCATTCTCTCCTGATCCCACTTCAGTTGGGTGTTCACACCCTTCTCTTTGCCAAAATGGGTCCTGTCACAGTCCCTGGTGACCTACATATTGCTAAATCCAGGCAGCAGGCATAGCAAGTACAAAGGCCCCGTGGTGAGGAGAAGCCAGGCATGATCAGGGTGCAGCAAGGAGACCTGGGTGGCTGGAGCAGAACAAGCAAAGGGAGGGGAGCAGAAAAGGAGTGCAGAAGGGTAACAGGCAGCTGGTTCATAAAGGGACTGAAATCCACTGTAAGAACACGGATTTTTTACCCTAAATGAAGTGGGGATGCTGTGTGATTTCTGAGTAGGGAGAGTAGGTAACCAGTCCATGGTCACCGAATGAGTAGATGAGGATTTGAATTGGGATCTTGCTGACTGGCGAGCCCCTGCTATACTGTCTTCATTAGCTGTGTGCCCTTGGGTCGGTCACTTAATCCCTCTGAACCTCGGTTTTCTCATCTGAAAAATGGGGAGACTGACTCCTCCCTTACAGAGTTAATGACATTCTCACATTAGAAAGGCTTGCTGTGTCAACATTCAAAAAAAGGTGAACCGCAATAACAGATTTCCTCTTCAAAGCTCAGTAATACCTGACACAAAAGAAATGGTCAGAATACATCTTCTGACTGAAAGTCCAACGACCCTGAAGAGGGACTTGCCACTCCCACAGGTCCAGAGGGAAGGAGAGGCAAAAAAGAGGGAGACCATTCCCCATACCCAGGCTTTCCTGTGTCTGGCCAGGTCTGGCACATAGTGGGTGCTGAACACAGAACTGCTGGACGAGTGACTGGATGAATCGTGCCCTTCCCTGGGCTGAGAAGGGTATGATGGGCTCCCCAGGCATCCCACTACAGGCATCAGCCCAGGGACAGGGGTCAGCATGGCGGTCCTTACCTGCCAGGCCGCCAGCCAGCCACACGGCCCAGGGGCTGGGGCCTGCGCAGGCCTCGGGTGTGATCCAGTCGTTCAGGAACACATAGGGGATGAAGTAGAGACAGTAGCCCGGGACATCCCTCAGCAGCATGGCGCCAACACCTCGGTACATGCCTGCCAGGCCCTCAGTCCGCACGATGGTTGCGATGCAATGCACAGCTCCCTGGTAGACTGGCTGCACCCCAAGAGCCACGGCCCTGGGTTTCAAACCAAAGTTGCCTGCAAAGACAGGGGGGAGAAATGGCAAGGGACACAGGGGACAAAAGACAGGCCAATCTCCAGCACTGGAGCCAGCCCGGCCCACTGACAACTTCCACTCGCATGGCCTGCTGGTTTTTACCAGAACTGCTGACCGTAGCAGCTCACACCAAGATTCTCAAGTCCCAAGACGAAGGCCAACACATGCAGCCAGCTGTGCAGCCAGACTGGAGACAGTGTCTGCCGGGAGAAAGCACCAGGTGCCTGAATGGTTTCTGGTCAACCATCACTATGTCTTTGTGAGCAGCACCGACTGCCGATGTCCAAGATCAAAGATGAGCAAGCTGTACTCAACTCTTTCCTAAAGCAGAGGTTGCAAATTCAACGTACTCCGTGTTCATGTGTATGTGTGGGTACTTGTTCACAGTGTGGTAAAAAAGCATATGAGGTTTGGACCTGGACTGCTCTGGTTCCAAATCTAGAACCCTCTACTTAAAAACTCTTTGACCTCGGTAGGCCACCTTTTTTGGCCTTTGGTCCCTTAACTTGGGCGCCTGGGTGGCTCAGTTGGTTAAGTGACTGCCTTCGGCTCGGGTCATGATCCTGGAGTCCTGGGATCGAGTCCTGCATCGGGTTCCCACCTGCTTCTCCCTCTGACCCTCCTCCCTCTCATGCTCTCTCTCTATCGTTCTCTCTCTCAATAAATAAATAAAAATCCTTAAAAAAATTATTTAAAAAAAAATAAGAGAACAGGCCAATAATTTATTGTATACAAAGTTGCTAAGAAAGTAGATCTTAGGGGCACCTGGGTGGCTCAGTCGTGAAGCGTCTGCCTTCGGCTCAGGTCATGATCCCAGGGTCCTGGGATCGAGCCCCGCATCGGGCTCCCTCCTCAGCGGGAAGCCTGCTTCTCCCTCTCCCGCTCCCCCTGCTTGTGTTCCCTCTCGCTGTGTCTCTATCTGTCAAATAAATAAACAAAATCTTAAAAAAAAAAAAAAAAAGAAAGAAAGTAGATCTTAAAAGTTCTCTACACACACACACACACAGTAACTATAGGCTATGACAAATGTATTAACTAACCTTACCTTGGTAACCACTTCACAATACACATGCATATTAAATAATCAAGTTGTATACCTTAAACTTATATGTCAATCATATCTTAATAAAGCTGAAAAAATTTTAAAGGAAAAAGAAGAGAACAGGTGAGTATAGATAAAATAATACCTATAAATTGCTCCGCATGGTACTGGAAATGCTGTAGGGGGAGAATAAGTTATCCACAGGTTATTACTGAGACTGAGGTGACCAGCATGAATCAGGAGGATACATGGGCTGGAGAGCCATCTGTTCTGTCCCTCCAGCCTTGGCCAGCAAGCAATGGCCCTGTCTCTTCCTTTTAATCCTTCCTCCAGGCTCCCCTGTCTGCTTCTCTGATGCTCATCTCCCCTGCTACAGACCCTTTAGCTCAGCTCTGACTCATGACCAGAGAGGCCTCCCAGTCCCAGTGCAGATATAGTGGGCTCTTATTCTCAACATTCCGTTCCTGAAGAACTAACGTGATATCACTAGGAAAGAAATAGAACGAAGCTTGCCTGTGACACACACCTATTTTACCACCTGGGTTTCATTCCCTGTATGTGGCATCTCACTTTGGTTTTGCACTTTGCTGACAAAGAGGCAGTAACTTTCATTACCGAACAGCTGAATTTCCAAGTTCCCCAAATAGTCCCATTCTTAAGATGAAAGGTTAGGAGCAAAGATTCAGCTTCATGATTCCATAGTCCAAACTGAAGGTTTGAGAGTCAAGTGCAACCTGTCCTTTCGCTTATCCCAGAAGAAGGTGAGATAGAAGGGGAGCTTTCTATTTGCCTGGGGAAGTGTGCTTGAACCAATGAATCCTGTATTTTCTTTTTGTGTAGGGGGAAGAGACTAATCACGGCCATGTGCATTCAGCCAACTACAGTGTGGGCAGGAGGCTGAGTCCCATTCACTTCCACAGCAGATCCCCCCAGGAAGGGAGTAAGGGCGGTGGCCACTTCTGCGGGCAAAGGGCCCTCTGAGCTCAGAGCAAGATCAGACCCTATGGTCTTTGAAAGCCCACTGAGATAGCACTGCACACCCCTTCCTTTCCCAAATCCACTATGATGCTGCCAGGGTCACCCTGGGAAATTCTGGGATGAGACAGAATAGATATAATTGTGTCAGCATCTGAACTTTACCTGGGCCATGCTCATGTCCAGATAACAGTGACCTGACCCAGGAGTCAAGGTTTTCATGAATCAACTACGGGTATGATGTAGCTCTCAGAAGTTACTGATTGAAGGAGAGTGTCCTGATAATATTCTGCTTGGGTAGAGGTATAGATGTTGAAAAAAATACTTGCCCAATCTTCAAGATGCCCTGTCAACAAAAAACCTGTACTTTTTTTTTTTTTCCTTTTCTTCCCAGGATAAGCAATAAGGAACTTCTCTCATATTCTACCAGGTTTGTTACATAAGCAATCTAGTTTTTATTGCTTGAGAATTATCCATTTATGGCTGTTAGAGCAATATAATTGTCATGGGGACTGGCATCCTCCGGAATACTGACATGAATCTAACTGGCAGCCAGTTCCTTCTGGACACAAAGCCCCTGGAACTCCTTCTAGCTCCCTCATCCCCAGTGTTAAAGCACGCACACACATACACACTTATTTGGAAATAATTTTCGATTTGCAAAAAAAGGGCAAGAAAGAGAAATTATACAAACAACACCTTTATATATCCTTTCCCCAGATTCATCTATTGTTAACATTTTACCTCATTTGCTTTATGGTTTGTGTGCACTCTCTCTCTCTCCCCTCCCTTCTCACTGAACAGATGCCCCTGTCCGAGTGCATAAACTTTGCCTGGGCTATGTTCATCTCCAGGTAACAGTGACCTGACCCGGAATCAAGGGTTTCATGAATCAGCTATGGGTATGATGTAGCTTTCAGGAGTTACTGATAGGAAAGTATCTGATAAAAATCTTCCTTGTTTGGAGGTGCCAATGTTGGAAAAATATTTGACAAACTTTGAACCGGCCATGTCAACAAGACCCAAACTTGTGCTTTGGGGTTTTTTTTAACCTTTTTTCCCAAGGTAAGCAATAAGAAAATTCTTCTGTACACACAATGCATATTTTTTTCACATGTACATACATATTATTATTCTCTGAACCATTTCAGGGTTAGATACCAAATGGTCCTTTACTCCTAAATGCTTCAGTAAGTGTTGCCTAAGAATAGGGATATTGCCTTACCTGTCAGAGTAGTTATCAGTTTCATAATCTACATTAACAATAACTTTACCTAATGTACTGTCTATACTCAAATTATCACTTGATCTCATACTGACCTGTATGGCATTCCTCCCCTCAGGAGTGCAGAATCTAGTCTAGCCAGTTTCTGCATTCAGTTGTCACAATTCTTCAGCTTCCTTTATTTATTTTTGTTTTTAGTAAGCTCTATACCCGATGTGGGGCTAGAACTCACGACCCCAAGATCAAGAGTCACACACTCCAACGACTGAGCCAGCCAGGTGCCCCTAGCTTCCTTTAATCTAGAGCATTTCTACAGCTTTTTTGTTTGTTATTAATGACACCAACATTTTTTTTTATGAGTATGCTGCCTCCCTCCTTATGAATAAAACCTTTCTCATTTGGGGTTTGTTTGATGTTTCCTCGTTATCACACTGAGATGATGCATTCTTGGCCGGACTTCCTCCCTGTTCTCACCTCTCCTCCCATGAGGACTAATGACGCTCAGGAGCCCCTGGTCTTCTTCTCCGGCCTCCTATCCTAGTTTTTATTAGCTTTCTTTTTAATTTAGATATAATTTGCATTCAATAAGAGGTGTAGCTTGTACGTGTACAGTTGAAGAGTTCTGACAACTGCACGCACCTGGGTCACCACACCCTACTGAGAAAATGACGTCTTATTCTTTTTTTTTTCTTTTTTTTAAAGATTTTATTTATTTATTCATGAGAGACAGAGAGAGAGAGAGAAACAGAGGGAGAAACAGGCTCCCAAGGAGCAGGGAGCCCGATGCGGGACTCGATCCCAGGACCCTGGGATCATGACCTGAGCCGAAGGCAGACGCCCAACCATCTGAGCCACCCAGGCACCCAATGACGTCTTATTCTTGAGGCAACCTGTTTTGGTCACAGCCCACTAAGACACAGCGAAGATTCCAAGCCTACCTACCCTCTCCTGCTTGCCTTTCAAGGTATAAGAACTCTGCGACATCAGTGATGTGTCACTCAGTGAGAAGCAAATCTTTCAACTGGTCGATGGTCGTTACGGGCCCACCTGCATTAGCAACAGTGGCCCCGGGCGATTCAAATGGGACCACAAAGCAGAAAACAGCGGCAACTCTTATCAGTTGCTCCAACCAAGACATGCCCCGAGGCTGGGCCCCGGAGGCGGGAGGTGCGGTTTGGAAGGCGTGGCCCAGGAGGCGTGGCCCAGAGAGCTGGGGCTGGAGGGGGGGGGAGGCGTGGCCTGAGAGGCTCAGCTTAGGAGGCGTGGCCCGGGGAACATGGCTTGGGAAACAGGGCCTGGGGAGGCGTGGCCTGAGAGGCGTGGCCCCGGGGAGGCACGGCTTAGGAGGCGTGGCCCAGGGAGGTACGGCTTGGGCAACGTGGGGCGGCAGGAGGCGGGGTATGGGAGACAGGGCCTGGGGAGGCGTGGCTTGGCAGCTCCACTTAGAGAAGGGCTGAATCAGAGTTCTTGGTAACTCTAGCTGTTTAAAACAAACTTTGGTGACCTTTAAAAATGGACTTGGGAGGTTGCCGGCAAGCAGCTTTTGGAAATAGGCACAACTCCCATCCAACTGAAATCCATGGATCTGCATGTTGTTTGTGCAAGGAACCCAAGGAAGGTGGTGAGGTGCTGGGTGAGTACTCTGCTCACACTGAACCACCAGCTCTCAGCCTGTTGTTCCTGAACCTTCAGGGCTTGGCTTGGAAGTATACACGTGCATGTAAAGGGATTCATATAGG